TATCTTTATGAGTATGTATATATATATATATTTATTTTTGAGTATATGCACGAAAAAAAAAAAAAAATATATATATACATTTATGAATGTGCACACACACTGTATATATATATGTGTGTGTATGTATACATACACAGTGGATGGGAGGATACAGAGGCGGGAGACAGGAGAAACGAGTCATTTCTTCAGTTCTTTGGTAAAGGAATCGGTTGTTTACGTTTTTTTATCGCTGGAGTTGGAAATAAGCTAAATAAGAACGCTATCAGCTGAGGATGCTGATATCGGAGGCAGAGTCAGGGGAATAACGCGTTGATGTGACATGCACGGCCGTATCTCGTGGCTTTATACTTACAGTGACAGGTACAAAAATAACAATGAGAGCATTTCACAACTGCGAAACGGGAAAGCCCAAACTCTAGAAAACCTTAAGTGGCAGTTTTAACTCAACTTAACTTAATGAGTTCAGATGGAAAAAAAAGAATGGACTGTTATAAGTAGAAATAAGACGTAAAAACATTATGTATTTAACTTTGGCCATGACGCAAACACATGAATATGTGTTATATAATTTAATGGAAATTATTATAGTAAACAACTATTCACTACAGAAGTATAATAACAATGAAAGGACTATTTGATAACGATTATACAAACAGTTCTGATAATATCTACAATCTTTAAGAGGAGGTAACTGTATTTGGGGTTTATATGATTAAAGAAGTTCGGCGAAGATGGATATTCCTTAAAAAAATGTCTGTTTATAAAGATAGATCATGTGATGAAGTGATGTCCGAAATGCCATGAACAGTTTCCTTTAAAAGCTCCGTTTTCTATTAACCTAATGCATAGAGTTCGTTTTCTATATATTAATATGATCATTTGATATATATTAACGAAGTTAAGAACGATAATGATAATACTAATGATAATGATAATAATAATAATAGTAATAGTAGTAGTAATAGTTTGTGATAATCACAGTGATAGTGATAGTGATAGTAATAGAAGTGATGATCATAATGGTGATGATCATGATAATGCTGATGATGGTGATAGCAATAGTAATGATAATTATAACGAGAATAACAATAACAATGATGATACTAATGAAAAAAATATAAAACAAAAAATAATAATGAAGTAATTATGATGGTGATAATAATAGCAATAGTAAAGATAATAATGAAAATAAAACAGATAACAATTATGATAATAATGATAAAAAAGATAAAAACACAATAGTAATAATCATAACAGTTATGATGTTACTCACAATAACTTTGTTAACTATTATAACTATAATAGTAACAATAATGATTATAATGGTAATAAGTATCAATGGTGAAGATGGTAATAATGATATAATGATAATAATGAGAAAATCATCGCGCAAATGACACATTAATAATACATTTGTATGCAAAATTCTAATGGTTAGAAAAGCAATATTGTAATAATGCGAGTAATAACATTAGATGACAGTGATGATTAAATATCATTTTTTTCTCTCTCTCTACATATATATATATATATATATATATATATATATATATATATATGTACATATATATATATATATATATATATATATATATATATATGTACATATATATATATACATATATATATATATATATATATATATATATAT